CCTGCACAGTGAAGATTTGGTGTGTGAGGACAGCCAGGGAAGCATTTCAATAGCTCACAGTGACTGCTGCTGCATTCTGAATGGATGTATTGAGAGCATTTCCTGGGGGCTGGAAGAGCTGTATGAACACACACACATACACATGCAAACACACACTAACACAAGTTCACACGGTATATTAAGAACAGGAACTTGAAGATGAAGCTCTGTGCAGCATGTCAGCATCAGTGCATTGTGACAAAATTAATGTTAAATCTACAGGAAACATGATCTAGATTTTGGTTTTTACAAATCCTTACATATACAGTGACTTTTCTCTTGCCAGGATGGCACTTCTGTAAATTACATCAAGAACACCACATAAATAATGCAAATGACCTCATAGCGCCCAACTACAACAATTCCACATGGATGCATAGTTGCCAGGGTTGGCATAAAATATAAATACAATTTTTATCTCAGCTTTCCATTAATTTCCAATGTATTTTTCCAATACTGTAAGGGACCCTAAAGGGGCAGCTGTGGCTCAGGAGGTAGAGCAGGTTGTCCACTAATTACAATCCATTGCTCTTTCTGCTGCGTGTTAAAGTGTCCTTGAGCAAGATACTGAACCCAAAATTGCTCCTGATGCTGTGCATGTTGTGTTTGAATGTGGATGAATGAGTAGGTTTATGTTTGTGATGGTATTTACCATTACTGTGTGAATGTTGCATGTAGTGTAAAAGCGCTTCAAGGAAGACCAGAAAGGTGCTATACAAGTACAGTCCATTTACCATTCACCCCAGTCTGCAGAAACATTCAAATATACCAGGTGAAAACAACATTTACAAAATAAAACTGAGAATTGGCCAGTCTTCACAATACTATACAATTAGCTTTGGCTATACAATGTAAACATAAGTCTATATGTGCTATCATGTACATAAATTGTCTGGACTGCTGCGTTTCATTTCGCATTTCACAAGTTTCATTTCATGCACATGCATATAAATGCAGCACGCGCTACGTGGTTAATTTTCCAAACTGCAATTAATAAACGCTGCTGCCTGTTATAGTAGTAAATAGTTGTATTTCACTCTCACTTTTATCAGGAACAAAGTCACAGAACAGCCCTGAAAGACACAGACAGATAAAGAGCTGCACTGTCCCGTCATATCCGTTATGGATACCTTGAGGTCAGAGGTCAAGAGAATCCTTTGAAAATGTAGCATGTATTTGGAGCGTTATTTATCCTCTTTCCCAACATGATATGGATGATACTAATGAATGCGTTATGCCATCTAGTTTCGTATGATACTAGTATCACTCTAGTTTTAGTTTAGTTTTAGAGCCCACTACAACCTCTGAAAGACAGTGTGGCGTGGAATGGGTAAGGATAATGGGGTGGCACTTGCTTGCTAAGTAAGTTGTTACACGTACAAGGAATATGTCTTGGTGCATTGGTGCATAAAAATCATACAAAAATAAAATACTTTTTAAAATATTGTCATTGCTCAAGTCTCTCTAATATGATATGATGGTCAATGGTGTCAAATGTAGCACTAAGATCTAACAAGAGAAGTAGAAGTTAATTTTTTTCAGTCTTTCCCTCATCTCAACATTTTTCTTTACTCCTTCCTTTCCCTCCCTTCTTCCTCCATTTATCTATTGTTTCCCCCATATTTACTTTTAATTCAGTTCAACTCAACAATATATTTCTTATCTTATCATCTATTTATTTTACTTTTCCTTTATTCCTCCTTTCTGCTTTGTTCTCAATAGTGTGGTTTTCTTTGATTTTCAGTTTGTTCCTAAGGTTATAAAATAATAATATATGATCATAATAATGGTATTTTTGTGATTCAAAAGAATCAAGAAGCGTGAGAGATAATGTTAATATCACCTTTCCTTTCTCCTTCATCCATCCTTCCCTTTGACTAGCTGGATGAATGAACAAAGGAAGGACAACAAAGGAGGGAGGCTGCGCACACACACACACACAGTCACACACACACACACATACGCTCCCTCTTCCCACAGCCCCGCCTCTGTTGCTAGGTTACTGCTTCCTCTTACTATACAGCCATTTCAGCCAATTGCATTACCTTGTGTCATTAATGAAGGAGGAGCCTCACAGTGCTCCACCGTGGAAGGAAATGACTCCTGTTGTCAGTGACATCATTTCCGACACACACACACACACACACCACACACCACACACACACAGTGTCTGCATTCACTACTACTGTACTCAGCAGGAAAAAGGTCACTTCACTTCACCACTGACACACAGACACACACACAGGCCAATTTATCATTATTTTATTTAATAATAATATATCATTAATATTATTATAAAATCTTCACTGCCTTGTTCTGATAGAATATATATGTACATCCTCTATATCAGGAGAGGAGAGTGTTGTTGGTGAGGAGCTGGTAAAAGTAGGAGCAGAACAGGGTCCATTCAGAATCAAATGAATCAGAATAAGATGTGTTTGTGTAGATCACCATGGATCATCTGCATTGGGTTTTTGAAATAGTAACAAATATGAACAATATGGCAATAAGCTGATGATACACAATCAATAAGCAAGTCTTTCAGGAAACATGTTCTGTCTGAAGCTCAAGTGCAGTCATTATTCTAGATCTTTACTTTTGAACTTTGTATTTTAATCCAATGTCTTTTGTAGGAGCTTTTCATCACTTGGTGATTTGTGAATCAGTTAGAGAAAAAGACAGACCTAAGGATTATAGTGCTAAATGCTCAGTGAATGGTATCTTGTCCAACCTCTTTGCTTGTGCTGCCCTCTTGTGGTACATTCCTGTTTTTTTTTCAACCATGATTATTATTATTATTGGTGTGTTTTATTTTATTTTATTTTATTTTATTTTATTTATTTTATTTTGAGGGATAAGGACAGTATCTTCGGGGTCACATTAACATGGTTCTAGACATGATTGTCTACCCATACAAGGGGTTGCCTTCATTAGTGACTAATGTACAACTAGTATCCATAGGAAGATGTTAACTGTCAACTGTCAGTTATTCATGTGAAGGTGTTGACACAGACTGATCTGTTTTTTAAGCTGTGTGTCCCTTCACAGTGAGTATGGCATTTAACACATCAAGAACCTTGATAATCTTCTAAAAGTAAACACTAAAACTGAACTAGGTTGTATGAATCGTGTTTGTAATGTAAGAATTTCAGAGGTTCCAGATGTTCTCAACATCTTTCCTTTTCCAACTATAGTCTGCCACAGCCTCAAAGAATACATATTTAGGGCCTAACATCAGCTCTGGCTTTGACACCACAACCCTTAACCCTTTCCCTTGTCACTGTCTGTTATTCCTCCCACCTCCGTCCACCCCTGTGAGGTCTGCTGGCCCTTGCTGTCTCCTGTTGTGGTAGAAAGTACAGTAGGTACAGTTTTGATATTTTACTACCCTTCTTTTTATTAACTGTCCTGTCTGCAAAGGATGCATGATTGTGTCTTTATGTCTTTTGTGCTGCATTCCTGCATGTCAGTTGGATACCTAAGGATTCATACATAGCAGTCTTGTCTTGTTCTTTTTGGGTTGTTGAGTTATTAACCCTCATAATGTCTTGGGGTCATTTTTGACCCCATTTCAATGTTCTTTATGTCATAAATATGGCATTTTTTAATCTAATTTCACCAAAATAACATGGATGGTTCCATGGTATGGGAGCTCCGCATAAAATCCATTTTGACCACTTTCACTGAATTTGAGAACTTGTGTTCTTCCCTACCTTAATTTGACCCCAGAAGGGCCATTGGATTACACTGTGCAAACACACACACAGCGCATATAATGCACACATACACTCATATAACAAACATACACACACCACAAATACACACACACACAGACACACACACACCCCGAAGGACAACAGGTGTCATTATTTGTCACCATTGAAAAAAATTAAATGCTTTCAAAACTGTGTCCTGACTAAACTTTGACATTTACCAGACTGTGATAATCAATCAACATATATTCCTATTATATGAACTATAGTCGAAATTATTCCATATTATAGCTTTTTTTAAAACAAAAAAATGCAATATTCTTTCTATTTCTACTTTTTAGTTTACTGACCTTAAATTCTAGAAATTTCGGTCAAGCTTAGTGTTAATGAGTTGGTATTGAGAAACACAGTATTGGATCTTAATTCATACCCTATGTTTTTTAAACAAGTCAAACNNNTCAAATTCATGATGGAGGAACACAACTGCATAGTCAATGGGAAGGTATTATGAGGGTTAAGTCCATGTCAACTCTACTGTTCAAATGTATGTCCTGTGATTTTGTAATTGCATCCGATGTCACAAATGCTACAATGTTAAAAATAAAAACATAAGAAGTGAGGTGGGAGGAAATTTAAGGAAAGAGTTTTTGTTTGAAAGTAAAGCAGGATCAGTGAGTGTCACACAGCCAATCAAAGGAATGTGCACGGATATCATTAAAGGATAATTCAGGTCCATCACAACTTGGGTCTTATTTTTTTTATGTCCGTTAATTGTCGAGATCAGGGAACACAGTTTGCAACTCACTAAAAAGAAGTTAGGGCAAGAAGTGTGTGCAAATAGACAAGCTGGAAATAAACCCCTTTGTTAGACAAACGTATTTGGGAGAGAGAAAGGAAGCAATATCACAAATCACAAATGTCCCTCATTTTTTAAATCACTTTACTGGTCAAACTTAAAGTGTACAGATTGTAATCTGCCTCAGTGTTGGTAAAACAACAGTTTTACCAAGTGATTTAAAAAAACTGGATAAACTTTTGACTTCTTTCCAACATGTCTAATGCAAAAATAAATCCTAAATTGTAAAAAACTGTAATTACCTTGTACTTGAAGTTCCTTAACACCATGCCTCTTAATTGCATGAGTAGATGAAGTTACTGCTGATAAAGATTATGGAGATTTTAAGTCTATGATTGTAACACTGACTGTGGTACTTATGTGCTGCCTCTGTCTTTTGTCTCCATCTGCAGGTGCGGTTGAATAAGGAAGAGGAGGAGGGTGAGGACGGGGAGTTGAAGGCTCCTGTTGTGTTTTGCATGCAGGCGGAGCACGCTGGGACCAGGACATACTACTTTAGCACAGACAGCCATGAGGAGCAGGAAGAGTGGATCAGAGCCATGAGCGAGGCTTCAGAGGTCAACATTCAGCTAACACAGAGGTGATGTTCACACACATGCACAGAGCCAAACTGGATGCACACTACCTTTACATATGTTCTCAGAAAAACAAAACAGAAAAACAGTATGCATTCCGACACTATTCTAGTACTGTCCCAATTCAAGCACTGCACAAGATGCAGATTCATACAGCGACAGTCAGTCAGTGGAAGTTGATTTGCCTCTCTGTGTGCTGGTGATGATGGAAGACTGTTACCAAAACTGTCCAGTGACTTCGAGTGGCTCTATTCAAACATACTAATATTTAAAATAACTGACCCCAGACAAATAATAGTTAACTAACCAGTTGTTTTCCAGTTTAACACAAATAATATTTACTTTGTTAGTTATAAGGGAAAAAATGAAATAACACAATTACTCAAATAAGACTTCTTTAAAATAAAAATATTATAGTTGAAATACTCAATTTTAAACAGAATTACCTTTACCAAAATTAGCAAATCACTGTAAAAAATTAGGCAATACCAAATACTATACAAAATGTAACACTATTTCCCTATACTTATCAGACTCAAATTAAATATGCTACTTAACTCAACTCTAAACACAACAATGGGCCCACACACACACTCTCACATGCACATAAAAATAAGAAACTGGGCAAACAGTTTGTGAAGAGATGAAAGAAGAAAGCAAACGGCAGCATAAGCAAAATCCTCCTCAGGAACGAAACAGTCCTTCCCGTTAAGCAATGGCATCCTCATGTTTAAACCTCTTGGTTCTTTGGCAATCAGTCAGTGTGACAACAAACCAGATCAGAGATAAAAAGGCAACAATGGATAATTTTGATTGTTAGGTCCTAAACAACTGGGAATTAAATAATAAATGACAGGCGAAATTAATTTTTTAATACAAACCTTCCTTTCTGTTCTCATACTTTCTTTTTCCTTCAAACTTCACAGAAATAACTCGGACACGAAAGCTGATCTCAACCATACTATGGTGACCAAGGCACCCGACCCACAAGCACAAGAGCATCCACACACACAAACACACAATGAAACTGACAGTGACCAGCCCCCCTACCCTAAGATAAATGGTGTTGACGGCTTTAAGACACCCCCACCCTCCACACCCCTCTCAAATCAGGAGGGAAAAAAGAATGAAGGAAGGCATGGAGGTGGAAGAGAAGGTGATGATGAAAGGGGAGGATCTGGTCCAGACTACACCCCTCACTCAATTTACCATCCAAATGGTTGCAGCAACTATGGCCCTCGCAAAATGCTACACAATAGCAAACCCCCTCCATCCAGGAGTCACAGTGGGCATCGCACCCCTCAGGAACACCCGGAGGAGAGTGGGGGCCCGTCACACGTCCCCCAGGAGCAGCAGGAGAATGTGGTGCTGAGGAGGGGTTTTGTGCCCAGGACAGCTCCAGAGAGGGTGGCCCAGAGGAAGAGCTCAATGGCCCAGCTGCAGCAGTGGGTCAACCAGCGGCGGGGCATGGCATCCCAAGAGGATATCAACAGGTAAATCAGTGGAGAAGTGGAGAAATATAACACCTCTGTCTCTCTACAGGTCTTCTTCTGTGTTGTTGGTGAATGGACCTGTATAGCTCCTTTCTAGTGTTCCAACCACTCAAAGTGCTTTTACACTACATGCCATTCACCCTTTCACACACATTCACACAGCGATGGTAAAGTCCATCGAACAGAAACTACCACATTTATACACATTCACACACCGATGGTGTGCGTTGGAAGCAATTTGGGGTTCAGTATCTTGCTCAAGGATACTTCGACACGTGGCAGGACGAGCCGGGGATCAAAACTACAACCTTCCGATTAGGGGACGACCCGCTCTGCCTCTGAGCCACAGCCGCCCTTTTGTGTTTTTTGCAGCTAGCTTCAGATGATGCTTCAGTGGTCATAGGGATACTGTAAGGACACTGACGGTGCCGGTCCTTGCAAGTGAACCACACTTGCACCTTCAATATTCATTATTGGTCATTATTTTCATGGCATACAGTAACATTGAGAAATTATGTTATCAAAGCTCTGCACATCCACTGCCTCAGACTGGGTGTTAGCAGCATCTACGCTAACTTCTATGGGAGCCACCATTGTTGTTTAATAAACAGTATCTTCTCACTGCATGAACGCTCACCCCTTTTTTTTTTAAATTAATATCCATGTGCATAATACACAAAGGTGATATTTATTTTAGATTATAAAAAGAAAAAAGTCTTATCAAAACAAAATTAACAAAATTAAGAGACTTCCATCTCCATCTTTTCCTGTCCTTACAGCCCATCTCATTACTACCAAGTGAGCCGTGGGGTCTCAGCTGACTACTATGGCTACCCTGGTGGCCCCCAGTATGTGGAGGAGTACCCTCTGTACACATCAGGGGTCCGACCTGACAGCATATGCTCTGTCTCTGCTTTGGGTGGATACGACCGACGATGGACTATTGAGGATAAGCGCCACTCACTAAGGGACGGGCATCAGCTGTATGGACCCCCAGTGCCCAGGGACCAATGGGGGCAACAGTATTACGGGGGAATGGAAACATCCATGAGGCGTCTGTCCATCCAGCCACGCTCCAGGTCTGTGCCTAGGTCACCATCCTTGTCATCGGGGGGGCCCTACTCACCAGTGCCACACAACTTTGCCTCGCCGGCTCGATCACCATCTGCCCGCTTTGACCGGTTTACAGGGAGGATGAGGGATGACGTGATCTATGCTGATCCATCTGTCTACAGCCTGAGGAGATCACTCAGTTCACCGAAGGTGAAACGACGAGTTTGTGTGTGTGTGTGTGTG